AGGAGGAAGAGGACTGAGGAGGGGGACTGAGGAGGAGGACTTAGGAGGAGGAGGACTGAGAAAGAGGAAGGGGAGGAGGGGAAAGGAGGAAGCATCTACATGTTATTTCCGTAACAGTTTTTGTCCGTTTATGATCATTTACGTCTGTTTCTGTCCGTTTTTGAGGAGGAGGAGGATGAAGGTGGGGATAAGGAGGACTGAGAATGTACTGTACAGTCTTGTGCAAGGACTGAGAAGGACTGAGGAGGAGGAGGATGCGTAGGAGGACTGGAGAGGAGGAGGTTGAGAAGGTCTGAGGAAAAAGATGACTGAGGAGTAGGGGGAAGAGGTAGAGGAGGACTGAGGAGAAGGAGGACTGATAAAGAGGAGGATGAGGAGGAGGATGAGTAGGAGGACTGAGAAGGACGATAAGGAGGAGGAGAAATGAGGAGGAGGAGAAATGAGAAGGAGGAGGAGGAGGAGGAGGTGGAGGAGGAGGACTGAGGAGGAGGGGGAAGAGGTTGAGGAGGACTGATAAAGAGGAGGATGAGGAGGAGGATGAGTAGGAGGACTGAGAAGGACGATAAGGAGGAGGAGAAATGAAGAGGAGGAGGAGGAGGAGGAGGAGGAGGATGAGGAGGAGAAGGAGGAGGAGGAGGAGGAGGAGGAGGAGGAGGAGGAGGAGGAGGAGGGATGGAGGATCTAAATGTTATTATCGTAACAGTTTTTGTCCGTTTTAGTCCGTTTTGATGAGGATGGGGAGAAGGAGGACTGAGAAGGTATTGTACATGTGATGACTGAGGAGGACTGAGGGGAGGAGGATGCGTAGGATGAAGAGGAGGAGGTTGAAGAGGACTGTGAAGATGAGGAAGATGATGAAGTTGAGAATGAGGTTGAGAATGTAGAGGGAGAGCTTTTAGAAGAGTGAGCTGAATAGAAGACAAGATTCTATTCCATTTTATTGATTATTATATTTATTGAAATAAAGATGTAATATCCATTACTCCAGGAGTGATGACAAGATATATAAAAAAGTAAAGGTTGAGACAGCCCTGTTACACAAATATATCATTAATATAATTTTCAGAGAGATTTCAGGGCTCATGTTTGTTTTTGTCCGTTCGATTTTGTCCGTTTTTAGAAAATGAGGAGGAGTACTGAGAAGGAAGACGGCACTGAGGAGGACTGAGGAGGAGGAAGACTGAGGAGGAGGAGGAGGTGGAAGTGGAGGAGGACTGAGTAGGAAGAAGAGGAGGAGGACAATGAGGACTGTGGAGAAGGAGGACTGAGGAGAAGGAAGAGGAGGAGGAGGACTGAGGAGAAGGGGGAGGACTGAGGAGGATGAGGACTGGGGAGGAGGAGGACTGAGGAGGACCGAGTATAAGTAGTAGGATGAGGATTGAGGAGGAGGAAGAGGAGGAAGAGGACAGAGGAAGAGTAGAACTGACAATGTGTCTTACATACAAGGACTGAGGAGGAGGAGGACTAAAGAAGAGGAGGACCGAGGAGGAGGATGAGTAGGAGGACTGAAGAGGGGGAGGAGGAGGACTGAGAAAGACTGAGGATGAGGATTGAGGAGGAGGAAGAGGAAGAGAAGGGAGAGAACTGAAGAAGAGTAGAGCTGAGAATGTGTCGCACATACAAGGACAGAGGAGGAGGAGGACAGAAGAAGAGGAGAACCATGGAATAGATTGAGGAGGAGGAGGCCTGGGGAGGAGGAGGATGAATAGGAAGAGGAGGAGGATGAGTAGGAGGACCGAAGAGGGGGGGGGGGGGGGAGGAGGAGGAGGACTGAGAAAGACTGAGGAGGAGGATGAGGATTGAGGCCTGAGGAGGAGAAGGAGGAAGAGAAGGGGAAGAACTGAAGAAGAGTAGAACCGAGAATGTGCCGTACATACAATTACTGAGGAGGAAGAGGATGACTGAGGAAGAGGAGGACTGAGTAAGAGGTAAAGGAGGAGGAGAACTGGTGAGGAGGAGGATGAAGAGGAAGAGGAGGAGGATGAGTAGGAGGACCGAAGAGGAGAAGGAGGAGGACTGAGAAAGACTGAGAAAGACTGAGGAGGAGAATGAGGATTGAGGACTGAGGAGGAGAAGGGGGAAGAGAAGGGAGAAAACTGAATGTGTCGTACATACAAGGACTGAGGAGGAAGAGGATGACTGAAGAGGAGGAGGACTGAGGAAGAGGAGGACTGAGGAATAAGTGGAGGAGGAGGAGAACTGGGGAGGAGGAGGATAAAGAGGAAAAGAAGGACGGAATGGAACTGAGGAGGACGAACACTGAGGAGGATCACTAGGACTGAAAAGGAAGAGGACTGAGGAGGAAAAGGAGGAGAAGGAGAATGACTGAGGAGAAGGAGGACTGAGGAGGAAGAGGATGAGGATGGGGAGGAAGGGGACTGAGAACGATGACTGAGGAGGAAGAGGACTGAGGAGGGGGACTGAGGAGGAGGACTTAGGAGGAGGAGGACTGAGAAAGAGGAAGGGGAGGAGGGGAAAGGAGGAAGCATCTACATGTTATTTCCGTAACAGTTTTTGTCCGTTTATGATCATTTACGTCTGTTTCTGTCCGTTTTTGAGGAGGAGGAGGATGAAGGTGGGGATAAGGAGGACTGAGAATGTACTGTACAGTCTTGTGCAAGGACTGAGAAGGACTGAGGAGGAGGAGGATGCGTAGGAGGACTGGAGAGGAGGAGGTTGAGAAGGTCTGAGGAAAAAGATGACTGAGGAGTAGGGGGAAGAGGTAGAGGAGGACTGAGGAGAAGGAGGACTGATAAAGAGGAGGATGAGGAGGAGGATGAGTAGGAGGACTGAGAAGGACGATAAGGAGGAGGAGAAATGAGGAGGAGGAGAAATGAGAAGGAGGAGGAGGAGGAGGAGGTGGAGGAGGAGGACTGAGGAGGAGGGGGAAGAGGTTGAGGAGGACTGATAAAGAGGAGGATGAGGAGGAGGATGAGTAGGAGGACTGAGAAGGACGATAAGGAGGAGGAGAAATGAAGAGGAGGAGGAGGAGGAGGAGGAGGAGGATGAGGAGGAGAAGGATGAGGAGGAGGAGGAGGAGGAGGAGGAGGAGGAGGAGGAGGAGGGATGGAGGATCTAAATGTTATTATCGTAACAGTTTTTGTCCGTTTTAGTCCGTTTTGATGAGGATGGGGAGAAGGAGGACTGAGAAGGTATTGTACATGTGATGACTGAGGAGGACTGAGGGGAGGAGGATGCGTAGGATGAAGAGGAGGAGGTTGAAGAGGACTGTGAAGAGAAGGACTGAGGAGGATGGGGAGAAGGAGGAGGAGGAGTAGGATGAGGAGGAAAATGAGAAGGAGGAAGTCGATTTACGTCCGTTTCTGTCCGTTTTTTGAGGAGGAAGAGGAGGATGAGGGTGGGGAGAAGGAAGACTGAGAATGTACTGTACATGCGAGGACTGAGGAGGAAGAGGAAAAGTAGGAGGACTGGAGAGGAGGAGGTTGAGAAGGTCTGAGGAAAAGAAGGACTGAGGAGGAAGGGGAAGAGGTTGAGGAGGACTGATAAAGAGGAGGATGGGGAGGAGGATGAGTAGGAGGACTGAGAAGGACGATAAGGAGGAGGAGAAATGAAGAGGAGGAGGAGGAGGAGGAGGAGGAGGATGAGGAGGAGAAGGAGGAGGAGGAGGAGGAGGAGGAGGAGGAGGAGGAGGAGGAGGGATGGCCGATGGAGGATCTAAATGTTATTATCGTAACAGTTTTTGTCCGTTTTAGTCCGTTTTGATGAGGATGGGGAGAAGGAGGACTGAGAAGGTATTGTACATGTGATGACTGAGGAGGACTGAGGGGAGGAGGATGCGTAGGACTGAAGAGGAGGAGGTTGAAGAGGACTGTGAAGAGAAGGACTGAGGAGGATGGGGAGAAGGAGGAGGAGGATGAGGAGGAAAATGAGAAGGAGGAAGAGGAAGGGGAGGAGGAGGAGGATGAGGAGGAAGATGAGAAGGAGGAGGAGGAGGAGGAGGAGGATGAGAAGGAGGAGGAAGAGGAGGTGGAAGAGGAGGAGGAGGAGGAGGAAGAGGAGGAAGAGGAAGAGGAGGAGGAAGAGGAGGAGGAGGAGGAGGGAGGAGGAGCAGGCGGAATGAGAAAGAGGAGGATGATGAGTAGGAAGACTGAGTAGGGTGAGAAGGACTCAAGAGGAATCAAGAGAAGGAGGAGGAGGAGGAAGAGAAGGAGGAAGAGGAGGATGAGAAGGACTTGGAGGGCAAGAGGACCAAGGAAGCAAGGAGAAGGAGGAGGAGGCGGACTGGGAAAGTGGAGTATGAGTAGGAAGACTGAGGAGGATAAGGAGGGGAGGAGAAGGAGGACTAAGGAGGAGGAGGAGGGGGACTGAGAAAGAGGAGGATGAGGGGGAGGATGAGTAGGAGGACTAAGGAGGGTAAGAAGGAGGAGGAGAAAGCATTTAAATGTTATTTCCGTGACAGTTTTTGTCCGTTTATCTCCGTTTTTGTCCGTTCTAATTTGTGTCTGTTTTGAAAATATAGGGTACCATATTTTCAAAACACTTTTACCATAACTTATATATAAATTGTCTCCTTCATCCCCATTTTGAGAGAAGTGAGAAACTGAAAGGTGCAAATTGTAAGCACGCCTAACAATAACGTATATAATCGGATCAGGAATTTAAATCAAAACAAAAAGTTTAAATTTTCTTTTTGGATTGCATCTACCAGATCCATCTGGTCTTACAGTGTCTAAGTACTGAATTTTATTAAGTTTTTTGATCATGGTTGCTACCAGAGTCAATTTTATCATCTATAATGTCCTAGTAACAGCGATACATACAGATTATTGTACTCCTGTATACGTAATTTTAACAGTAATCGGAACATTATGGACTGATCAGTGAACTGAGTTAAACGGAAAAATGATTTTAAAAGATTTTAGATTTTTTCAATTTTCTCAATTTTCTCAATTTTCTCAATTTTCTCAATTTTCTCAATCTCAATTTCGGAAAAATCATGTTTCAGAATTGAGATTGAGCTTCCTACCCCCCATTCTTACCTGTCCTCTGGTTTCAGATTTCTGAGGGATTGTGAACAGTGGTGGATTCCCTGTTTTGCCTCAGCGTTATTTGGGTCGATTTCAAGCGCTTTTTCGTACACAGCTTTGGCCTCCTGTAACAAAATGTGTTAAATTCATTTGGCTGTAAAATGAATTTCCATGCTCTGTAATATCACTGAATGCTCTGCATATACGCTAGAGCAAATGTTGCACAAAAAGCTGTGTCATTACATCATGTTATGTCATTAATGTGATGTCATAAATTTTACTTTACTTTACTTTACTTCTACTTTATCGATGAAATTATATAAAGTAAGGAACTTGCCTGTGGCTTATCAATTTTAAGCACTGCCGCTTTCCTCAGGTATCCCTTAACGAACATGGGGTTGAGTTCGATACATTTGTCACAGTCCTGCATCGCAAGTCCAAATTCCATAAGTTTGGTATAACAAGCAGCCCGGTTACTGAAGAACAAATGGTTGTAAATTGGATCGTTTAGAAGGCGGAGATACGTTACCGATATGTCATAATGTCACATGTCATGGGTGATGTTGAGCCTAATATTCGAGAAATAGCGTGGGGAGAGATCAGAGAATTTTCTAGATTTCAAATAAAGCACCGTGCGCGCTGAAATTTCTATAAAATTGTAGTCGCGCGTTCCAACGAATTTTCCTGAAGACCCTTCTGCGAGGATAATTGTGTGCTTGTGCAAGTTGACGGGATATAATTGACTCTACAACGGGCGGGGCAGGTATGCGATACAAATAACAACACAATGCAGAAGTAGCCATCCAAAAATAGGACTTCTAACAAACTTTCATTATTTCCAAAAACTTTTATGCTTACAATCCTACAAATTAGTTAAAACATGAATGTCGTCTGCTGTCTGATCCTACGAAAAAGTGTGACTTCACAATCAACGGAAAAATGATTGACAATATTTTAAATTTATCTCTCACCTATACGGCACGTGGTCAGTTGGATTTCTTTTAATTGCTTCGTTGTAAAATTGAAGTGCTTCAGCGTACTTTCCTGGAAACCCGTTATTTAGTTAACTGCCAACTTGGAAAACTAAACTGAGTTTTTATTTCATGAATCTAGAATGTTTATCACTTTAAAATAACACTAAACTCTGATTAACACGAAGATCCAATTTAAAAGTTTACAATTTAGATTGAAAGTTCAGAATATTTAACAAGATTATTTGGTGAAGTTTTGGTATTACCTTGTTTGAATACATCGTTTCCTTTCGCTTTCTCTGCTTGAGATTTCTCAGGGCTAATGTAAGCCAGCTTTTCCTTTTCTTTCACCAATTTTAAAACCTGGTTATTTTAGAGTAAACAGAATGGGAACCTATGCATGGTAGAGCACAGCAAGGCCGACCAAGACAAAGCTACTTGTCTATGTTACTGAAGGAAGTTGGGACAAACTCCTAGATTTTAAGATTTTAAATCGACTGATAATATCAAGTTAAGAACCCCGTAAAGTTAAAAAATAGCAGACGAACACAATTAATGGGGATTGATTTGTAGTTTTATAATGTGCACCTTAACCAAACAGTGTAGCATTGTTGATTGGAAGATAAACAAATATTCAGTATTCAACAATTCCATGCTCGATTAAAAATTAAAAGATAAGTCTTAAATGTCTTATTTAATATATATTGTATAACACTTTATTTTATTTATCTATTTATTTACGAATAATGAATTAATTAATTATCTTACGTCTGATCTCTCTTTAAGTATGTTAGGGTCTCTGTGCTCGGTGATAGCCTTGTCGTAATAGTACATTGCTTTGTCCAGATCCTCCTTCTTCATGTATGCTTTACCAACTCTTGACAGGGCCCTGATAAGGAAGATTTCAAGAAATGTTGAAAAAATGTTCAATAAAAGTTTACATTATGTTGAAAAAATGTTGAAAAAATGTTGAATGCTGATATTCCATGACTTGTTGTAACTTGTAAGATAGAGTTTGCTTTTGGACTGTTAAATTCTTAATTACAGCTTTTTTTTTCGGTCAGATGTTTTTTTAAAACCCACTTTTACTATGACTTATTAAAAAACATAAAATACAAACTTGATACAAATACGAAATACAAAAATGAAATACAAACTTTGCAATGTGTTTGTAGTCTGACTCATTCTCCCTTCCAACATCCACTGCTTTTAGGCACACTTCGATGACAGCGTCATGGTCCCCCTTCTCGAAGTTAACAGCTGTGCGGGTGAAGGTTTAGGTTAAGTTAACCTTGCAGCTAGTCAGTCACTCAGTCAGTCAATGAGTCAGTCAATGAGTCAGTCAATGAGTCAGTCAATGAGTCAGTCAATGAGTCAGTCAATGAGTCAGTCAATGAGTCAGTCAATGAGTCAGTCAATGAGTCAGTCAATGAGTCAGTCAATGAGTCAGTCAATGAGTCAGTCAATGAGTCAGTCAATGAGTCAGTCAATGAATCAGTCAATGAGTCAGTCAACGAGTCAGTCAACGAGTCAGTCAACGAGTCAGTCAATGAGTCAGTCAATGAGTCAGTCAATGAGTCAGTCAATGAGTCAGTCAATGAGTCAGTCAATGAGTCAGTCAATGAGTCAGTCAATGAGTCAGTCAATGAGTCAGTCAATGAGTCAGTCAATGAGTCAGTCAATGAGTCAGTCAATGAGTCAGTCAATGAGTCAGTCAATGAGTCAGTCAATGAGTCAGTCAATGAGTCAGTCAATGAGTCAGTCAATGAGTCAGTCAATGAGTCAGTCAATGAGTCAGTCAATGAGTCAGTCAATGAGTCAGTCAATGAGTCAGTCAATGAGTCAGTCAGTCAATGAGTCAGTCAATGAGTCAGTCAGTCAATAAGTCAGTAAATGAGTCAGTCAGTCAACGAGTCAGTCAATGAGTCAGTCACTCAGTCAGTCACTCAGTCAGTCAATGAGTTAGTAAGTCGTTCAGTCATTCAACAGCCAGTCGGCTAGCTAGTCGGTTGGTCATTCAGTCAGTCAGTCAATCAGTTATTCATTCCGTCAGTCAGTCAACCAGTTATTCATTCCGTCAGTCAGTCAACCAGTTATTCACTCCGTCAGTCAGTCAACCAGTTATTCATTCCGTCAGTCAGATAATATTTTCCTGACTGCAATATTACATATATCATTGAATGAGATTAATTATCATTACGTAATACGAGTTTTGTTACATAACAATTAACAACTTAAAAAGTAAGAGTTAGCACTTAGCAACCCACCTCCTTTGTTATTGTAGAAAGTAATATCAGTGGGGTCAAGGGCTATAGCCTCGTTATAGTGCTGGATAGCAACATCAAACTGTTTGGCTTTATAGGCTTTGTTACCAAGATCTTTGGCTTTTAGAGCAGGGGTTGCCATCACAATATAACCTACAGAAGAGGAACAATGAACATATTGTGTTAGTTATTAAATTTATGTTAAATCTATGTATAGTGTAGTTTATTAACTTACGATTAACAAATATCAACAAGAAATAAAGTGTATGGATATTGGTATACATTAGGTAATTTTTAAACTCAATCACCATGTACATTTTTAAAATGCATAACTTCTATTAAGCACTTCTCAGATTGAAAAAGAAGTGTAACAATACAAATGTTAAGGGAAGAAATCTTGTGAGTTATTTCAAGAGATATGTATAGAGTGACAATTGTTAAAGCTTATGATATTTTCAATCGTATTTCTAGAATTCTTTGCCAATCATAAAATTAATAATACAAGATCCGAAAAAAAGATAATAGATTTTAATTATAAATGATATAATATAAACAGCATCAAATTCAAACACAAATTATCCAGGTTTACAATTCCAAGTAAAAAACAAAAGTTACAAATTTCAAATCACTTCACGATTGTAAGGCAGAATAATGGGAATTATTCGATTCTTTAGGACAAAATGAGAGTCTCGGACACTCATTTTGTCCCAAAGAACCGAATATGATCAACCCACTCACAAGAGCGAAAAAGATACCTAATAATGGGAATTGTTGAAAACATGCAATCAATAATCAAGCCCGCTGAAACCTGGCAATATAATGTTATGCAGGTAGCCTGAAGTTATTTACTCATTATAGTTCTGTGTTTAATGTTTATACAGATTCCAAATTAACGTTTGTGTTGAAGACTTCACATAACAGCATAGGTAATAATGTACATCCAGCGATGAGCCTTAACTGAACCCATCAACAATCCATGCCATTATTCATCTTTGAAAGGCCCATTACATCATTGTATAATGTATATTGTATAATAACCCATTTCACAATTGTTAATTTAATTCAAATAAGTCTGGAATTTACTCATTAACCGTTCACTGAACCTTCTTGTCTTCCTCTTCCTCCTCCTGACTGACAGGACGTGGCTGCGAGCGCTGCAGTCCTATCGTGTGCGCTTGCTTTGGTTTACCAAACACTGAGTGAATACCCCAAACTGTCACTAAAAACAGAGCTATCATCGCCACAATTGGAATAGCTATAAGGATAATGATTGAGGCAACCACTGGTACATTCGCTTGTTTGGTGAGGTAATCGTGCATGTCATTGACCTTGATAGCAAAGGATACAAGATATCCAAACATCTGCATTGTAACAGATCCAGGTCGTCTGTACCAACTCATAGGCTCCAAACTATGACACTCACCCTCTTCCAAGAACTTCTTCCACACATTAATCTTCCTGGCACCTTGATAGGTTCTGAAAACTCCATCCTTAACATGGAACAACGTGGGTATTCTAGTGACAAGAAGTTGGTTACTAAGACTATAACCCACAGTGATGTCTATCTCGGCTATGTTGTATTCCTTGTCTTCAGCCCAAGCTCCTAGTTGGATCCAGGATTGCGCGATGGACTTGCATGCGCCACACCATGGTGCGTACGCCTTGATAAACCAGTCTCCATCTTGGATGATGTGACTGTTGTCGTCTGTTAGTACAACTACTTCACTGCTGACTAAGATAAGAGTGCAGGAGAGAACCAAGAGTTTATTCATTGTCTAAGGGAGAGGTTTTTATTTAATTATTTGTAACTAAATTACTCAAATTCGCGCTTGTGCACGTCTCACTTCTGTAACAATCGGACATCAGGCAATGGTTCAACAACACTTTTCACAGGACCCATCGACACAGCCTGAAGGTGACTGCATAATAACGGGCCAAAGTGGAATCACACAATAATAGCTTATTATCGTGCATAATATCGTGCATAATATCGTGCATAACCGAATGAATAATATCCAACTAAATTTTGTCGCTAAATCATAGATGGTAACATCAAACATACTATTACATATTATAAATATACAGGTGGGCCAAAAGTCAGTACCCAAACGTTGGCCTTTATAGCTAAGTCACTGAGTGCCCAATTGAAATAATTCTTTCTGGTACGACTTACCACTGGTTCGAGGAATTTGTCAACTTGAAAAATATTCGTGTCCATTTTTTTTCAATTATGAAGGTTCAGTTTTGCGTTTAATTGATAGTTGGATCGAGCTAAATTTTATTGAAGAGTTTTAGTTTCTCAGATGACTTAGATACGAAGCATAACGAGTTTATTCATTACGTGTGATCAGGTGATTGGCTTACCTAATCACGTGACAAGGTGACCCCGTTAACCACCCCGCTCAACATTATGGGAATCCTTAAGGCTGCCCAATTAAAGTGTCTTGTCAGTCACATAATCACCCAATCAATTTTGCTAACGAGATACACAAAATGCTTGATAATTTCATCATTCCTAATTCGTTTCACATCATTTTTCAGATCAGATGCAACATTTAATAATCTACTGTCTCTGAAAAAAATTAGTCGTCCAGCATGTTCAGAGAAAACAATATAGGTGTTTTAAAATAGAATGGGCGGGGTGTCTTGGAGTAATCATGGATGATAAATTGAGCTGGAAACCACATATATCATCCCTCAACAAGAAACTAAGAAGTGCTTGTGGACGTATCTACCGTATTAAGAAATGCTTACCAGAATCACTATATAAGCAAATATATCATTCTCTCTTTGAATCACACCTAGGTTATGCTATTTCTGTCTGGGGAGGTATTCCCAATAATCAGTTGAAACCGCTATTTATTACTCAAAAGAAGTGTATCAGGATTCTATTTGGAGACTATGAAGCTTATGTAGACAAGTTCAAGACATGTGCTAGAGCAAGACCAATTAATTCTCAACGTCTAGGATCTGAATTCTATGTTAAAGAGTCCACTAAGCCTCTATTCACAAAACATGAATTACTTGTTACAGAGAACCTGTACAGATACCGTTGTTTAATGGAACTTTTTAAGATCATTAAGTCACGAGTACCAATTTCGTTATACTACTTATTCAACATATCAAATAGGAAAGATAATCTGTTCATTACGCCCTCTCCAACTAATCAATTTGTTTATAAATCTGCATGGCTGTGGAATGAATTCCGTAAAGTTGGCCCGTTAAATTTCACCTCCACATGCAGATCTATCAAGAATTTACTTAAACAGTCACTTCTAAGAGCTCAAAACCGGTATGGAACTGAATGGTGTGACAAAAATTTCACTGAATTCTGATTAAGAAGTGATATTTATTTGCCTGTTATTCCCACTTAAGCACTTACTGACTGACAAGCTTATCTATGATTACCATGCTTGAATTTAGGTAAACAACATACAACTCATTTCCAAGTTACGCTGAGCGCAACCGCCGAATGACTCAGCAATATGGAAACGCGCGCGCATAGTATTGCGCGCCGATGCTGTGCGCGCGCGTTGTCGGCCGAAACTTGGGAAGTTCCCGCTCTAATATTCAGACGACAGTGATGACTCATTAAGGCCAGAGGGGGGGGTAAACGCTCAAAATTTTTTACAAAAATATTAATCTTTAAATAAATTCATTTTTTGATGACAAAAGTTTTGCTGCCATTCACATATTTGTAACTGCTTAACTTTTTTTGATAAATGAGGTTAACTGATTCTTACAAAATTAGGGTTACAACGTTGAGGTTACTAAAATTGAGGTTAAGATGTTATTTTACCCCAAGATTATTTGTTATTTCGGTCAGCAAATGTTAACTCTCAATTCTAGGTTCATAATTGTCACTAAAAACGCTATCTAAACGTTTATAAACGAGGTTAACCTCTTAATTTAGGTATAGCGAAAATAGATTGGACGATAGAGTTGTTATTTTTATCGTAAGATTACGACATACAAATTTCTAAATAGATGTAGTGCTGATTCACTTAATTTTATCTCGAGAAAGTGTTGAAAATGAGGTTAACCATCACACCTGGTACTTTAAGAATTATTTACATACGATTCTTACTTTTGTTATGTACCACAATATCACAGTGAGGTATCTATTTGTATTACAATGCCTCAAATATTATCACGTGACAAAGGTGATTTAGAATGACCATGTTTTAGTAGAAGAGTTCACCCGTAAATGGCTCAAAAATGAGGTTAACCTCTCATTTGTTGAATATCGGGCCAGTCAATTGCATGTTAACCTCAACAACTTTATCGTTACACTGGGCAAATGTTGTATTACATGTATAGCTATGTATTGATAAACCAATCCCAGTGTAATATGGTCTATAGCGAGGTTAACAATCATATTTTTACTACTATTACAAGATATCATGATAGTTAACCTCATTTTTAGACAAATTTTGGTTTATGATGTTGATTTTCCCAATATAAAGTATCTCAATGAAGATCTTTACACCTTAAAGCAAAAATTGTAAGAGACGTTTCTAAATACGGAAAATAATGCACAATTTGAGATTTTGGCAGTGAAATGAAAACACCAAAACTCGTTTTACTCGAAACGGTTTTTTTCATACCAAAATCCTTAACTTGAGAAGACTGGCCACACCCAGAAGCTGAAACTTGGCACAGGTGGTCTTTGGGATGTTAGGCAAAAACGTTATGTTTTAGAATTTTGATTTTTGCCTTTGTTCTTGAAATATGAGGTTAACTTCACCCCAAATTCGTAATAAAATCGAATTTGGGTTAAAGTTAACCTCATATTTCAAGAACAAAGGCAAAAATCAAAATTCTAAAACATAACGTTTTTGCCTAACACCCCAAAGAACACTTGTGCCAAGTTTCAGCTTCTGGGTGTGGCCAGTCTTCTCAAGTTAAGGTTTTTAAACTTTTTACAGTTTAAGTTAAAGGTTTACATATAATTACAGGTAAACCTCAATATTTGGCGCGCAATATCTCAAAAACGCAAGGTCAGATTTCGGTCCGGTTTTTTTCTTCTTGTTCGTCTCCAGCAGCTCTGATAAAATATGTGAAAACTGGAAAAACGAATTTTACCCCCCCCTCTGGCCTTAAGAGCACTAATTTCGACCACTTTCCCGGTCGAACCATACCAAATCAAACTAATTGACCCACGTGTATAGCCAATGTCCTGGCGGTGCTGAGCCGATGTAAAACTCTTCTGTAAACTCTTTTGTCTCTTGTAACTTGCTTATGAGTATTGCTGAAAGCACAGTGTAAGGCCTACACGGACCGCCTCTAACTAGCCAATCCCTGTTTACATGCCGTGTAGCAGGGGACTAGAAAGAGCTAAACTAGTAAGCGGGGCATAGCCAATACACTATACTTCCATCATTGAGTATATTACCAACCAACAGGAAAATTTCCTTGTGTTTGGAATCTACCAAGACGAAAGTTGTACAATCCAGCGAAATTCCGCTATTTTATATTTTAGTTATACTGTGTACTGTGTACAATAGTTATAGCGTATAGTGTGTAGTGTGTAGTGGTTATTTTGTTGTAACGTGTCACTTTATTATTTGCTACCAACGTCAGCCTTGACTTACCATTTATTGTAATTGGTACAGCATATATCAAAATTAAAACACTGTTTTCGATCTGACGGGTGATGGGCTCTCTCTGATGGGACATATAGTTCTAGGGGGTACCCGGGGTACGAGTTAACGAATAGTGTTCGTGTCCTTCCACAATCCCCTCTCATTGTGTTTTTGACGGAGGAGGAGCCTAGTTCATCCGTCTGCATCGCTTAATCGAGTTAAAAATTTAGCCAATAACAAACTAAATTACATGTTATACTGATATCAGATGTAGAGTTTATAACATACAAATTCTAAATTTTTGACGGCTGACGATGGTAAGTCGCTACGTTTAACTCGGGACTTTTATAGTCTTAAGTCTTGGAGCTCAAAATGTCTCGTGCTGTGGGCCGTATAAACGGCGCACACCACCGCCCCGCCTTACTGCTTACATTACTTCATGGTTGCAGGGCGGAGCCGGTGCCGTTTGTCTCGGCCTCGAGTGGCGAGTGCTTGCTCATCGAATACACGATTGAAACACTAATTATTTACTGGCATTCTACAGTTTCCAAAACGAAGTACGAAGGTATATTAACTTTGAGCTTTGTTTTGGCGACTGCTTCATCGATGGGCAAGTAGGTATTTGTTGTTTAGCAGTGTTGAATATTGGAGCAATTATATAATGTATATCTCCATCATAATATAGGCTAGTGTAAACATATATAATCAATAATACAAACAAATAGTATTATATTATTGGTAACTCGCTAGATTATAAATGTTATTTAAACACATATGTTTACGTCAATTATTACTAAAATTAATATTCTTTTTGCTTTAATATAATTACATGTCACATAATTGATTAGTTGAATGAAACGTGTGCTACAAATGTCTACGCCTCACGCAGAACTGCGTACCGCTTAGTACTTCATGCTTGAGCGGTACTGCTGTTCACAGAGGCGCGCATATAATAGCACTCAATTTAATCACAAATAACGAGCGCGCGGTTTTTGGAATTTCTCCATTATTATTTTTCGATCTATTAATTAGATCGCAGTGCTCACGGCCTGTACTGCGTGAACGACAGAAATATGTTTTAAATTATTTTGCTTCTGAAATTTTGGCTCTAGTAATTAAGAAATGCGACATGTAATTGTAAGATAACAATTAAATAGATCCTGTGCGCGGCGCCTACAGCTGACCTACGAATTTCTGAACAATTGAAAATTGTGGCTGTGTGCGCGGCGTACTGTATATGTGTTTGAAATTGAAATTTGAATTTATTTATGAATATAACATTATGTATTGATTGTTTTGTGGTAAATAAAAAATTTTTCTTTCCTAAAAAAAATTTTTCTTTCCTGTAAAATATTCGAATTTTCAAATTTTGGCGCCGGAATCCTCAAACAAGCAGATACAGTATACCATCTGCAAAGCAACAACTCTCAAATATAAAACACGGCGGAGGTGTAAGACCTAACGTACGGGTACTGACTTTTGGCCCACCCTGTACTTGAGTAAAAGCGTATGCTAGCAGCTAGCGTATGCTAGTATACGTATATGCTAGCAGCTAGCGTATGCTAGTATACGTATATGCTAGCAGCTAGCGCGCTGGTACAATGAAACTAATAAATCAATGTTTTAGCTCATTTTACAAAGTCAAATATTTAAAACAATTAAAATTGTATAGTGCTCAATTTGTAAATGACTAGTTGATCTTTGCTATTGGAAGTTTGTCAAGGACTGGCAGCTAGCGGGGCAATGAATGCACGGGTACAAAATACCAGCTGTTAAATTCGACCTGACCACACCGTCGAAGGTTGCCAGTTAATATTGGGTTAAATGTAAGCCAGTGGTGCCAAGCGCCGCCACATTCGTGTGGCACTATATTTTTCGTAAATAAATTCACACTTGAAGTGTGGAAAAAAGCGCCCGCAGTGGCGTGAAAGCACATGGATAGATGAAACCATAAACATGTGTGCAAGTTAATTGCTTTTTACATAAATTGCTTTGTATTTCATAACCAATAAATCAATTTTTATCATAAACGAGGAATAAGTAAGTGTCGTTTTTTTTAAAGTTAGCACACCACACACGAGACTATTTTAAAATTTGCTCTGATCAGAGCAACTAATTATACAACGCAAACATTTAAATTCTCGAGCTGGATCGATCATACTAGCAACATGACAACAATTAATAAACTTTTATTAAATGTTTCAGTGCGGCTTGCCGGCTTAAATATACACTTATAACAAAACAACCCATAAAACTTAAATAGCAATACAGTCAATAATCGCATCAGATAAAAAACAATAAATGTTAATTGACGATGTCAAGTCTTCGCAGATCGGTGAAGCCCAGTAGCACATTTTAATATTGCCGATTTAACAAAGTTGTGGTTGCGAGAAGCATTATTGGATGCGCGGCGTGGCCCAGTAAAGCATCGCGCTACAACCATAAATGGAAACGTTAAATTTTTAAATTATTTTGATACGTTTTGCTTTCAACGGCGCGCGCTTTGCGCGCGAAAAGTGGCATGCGCATGCAACGTATTGCTCTAATCAGAGCCCTCTAACAAACGCGTCACGCAGTACGCGTATACACATGGCTATGTGAATGCAACGTATGTCCAAAATTAAAGCAATATGATTAATAAATTAAAAAATGTATTAATATTGCATTTATACAATATGTTATTTATTGTTTAATGTTTAACATTTTTTCGTATTTTAGGTTCATTATTTTTGTTACAGCAATTTGTTGCATTGATTAACGGTGTCAATCCTTCGCAGCTCGATGTGGTCCAATGGTGCATCTCGCCGAATAATCTAAAGATTGCAAGAAGTAATGTTTTATGCGCGGCGCGGCCCGATAGTTTATCGAGATACAAAGCTACTTGCCGAGCTAACCAAGTTTTAATTCGGGCTCGGGGATTTTTAAAATTTATTTAAACGATATACACAATACAAATAATTTCAGCGATGAATATTGTAATGATTATTGTCAACAAAATTTAAAGTCGATATACAAAATAAACTAAGTTATTTAGTTTGTCAATTTTGCAAACCGCACCAAACGCTTAATTGTGCCACGCGGAAGAGCTGTTTTAGACCAGGGTGACATATAGTAAACTCATATACTGTCTCGTCTCATTCTGCTTTTCCAAACCCATCATGTCACTTTTAACACCATCCTCCACCCTTCACTTTGATTACTCCGACAACCTTCCCCAGGGTTGCCACACCCCAGAGGTAGGCAGAGCATCTCAATGCTATCTTCTCGTGGGCTACTTGGACAGCCTCTCTTTAAAAATATATATTCCAAGTGTTTTGGGTGACTTGCTATCCCTAGTACGGTTCTCAAGATGTCATCTTTCAGAGGCTTCATAGACGAATGCAGAATAAGCTAACTGGGGTTCGTTTGCAGCTGCATCTACACTTAACAAATAAAAACCTAGAATGTCTGCTTTTCAACTGTCAGTCTTCTCTAATGTGAACTTTTGAATCTTCTAATCCAAGGGCGCTGCTATCACCTTATGTTGTTCCTGAGATGTGCATGAAATATGTATGAGTATGAGATCATCACTGTTGGCTATGAATAGGTCTGATTCTTTCTGTAGCTGATGTATGTGAACTACAATATACAAGGTGTATTAGAGTTTCTCAACCTCTGTGTTGTGATGTAAGGCATTGAAGTCCTTTTTTAGTATTTGTATTTTGTATTTGTATTTTGTTTCTCATTTCACTATTTTCAACTTTTTCTGCACAATTCATAGAATTAGTTTATTGAATCCACATTTTCTATATTTTGAATATATAATGTGAAGGCTGATGGAGGGTCCGCAGTAGTCCCATTACCTTAGTATTGCTGTACAACTACTACAGAAGGGTCTTGCGCTACTGGAACAGTCTACCACCACTTGTGAAAGCTAGTGAGTCGGTTACTGGATTCAAAAGGGGATTAGATGCCTTTGGGCTTCATGGATATCAGGCAAATAAGCATGGCCACTACTGGGAACTGTCATATGACATCTTTGATAGGATAGATGTGTCTGTGTCTAATAGGAATAGTTATGTAAGTTATATGAAAGAGAATCCAATGGTAGCTATATCAAAGGTATTTAGTTGAATTTTTTAAAAGTTTGTAATTATATGGTTTCAAACGTAAATGTTCATTTTCTGTGAATTTCTTTTTGGGATGCCCAGAGAGGCATTATTTATAATGTTATGTTATGTTAGAAGTAATCTGAAAAACTGAAAGAAATATGTTTACCACCTTTGGCATTAATTACAATCGGTTTACGTAAGCCCCTGTAAAAATTGTTCTTTCACATGGCTAGCTCATGGTCATTGCTTAGAGCACCAGAATTAAACTTTCTTTTCAATCAACCCTTAATTTAAAAAACGAAACTAAACACAGTATTTACTAATTACTACCCGCTACTATGCGACAAATATGTTGTATGAAATATATATAAATAGTTTACACAATATGGTACCCATGTCTAAGGGCTCTCCTCAAAAACTTTCTCCCCTCGTCAAGAGTAACAAGTTAAAAATGGACAGATGTCTCACGAAATCAAAAAATACTAAATAAGGTGATTATAAATGCCTGTATATTTTAGATCAAAATACTAAAACTGCGACTGACCATTTGTAACCTTTGTATCTCTAGAGAAATCATGGCCTCTGCTGCTGTTGATGAATTGGCTATTAACATCGATAGTTTGGACTTGGAGGACAAATTGAAGTGGCTCAAAGAGATTCTGGAAAATGGTCGAGAGAGATTTGGACAACTGGATGGAATTGACAATCTTGCTAATTTTATTGATAAACTTTCAGTAAGTATTTATTATCTATAGAACAATATATGAACAACATTGATTTTCTGAGAAAAGTATTGCAATTACTACACTGCATTTTTATTTTGAGGGTAATTTATTTTTCAATATAATCCACTCTAGAACAATCACCCAAGAAACACTCTCACAGGAAGAAAAAATAATATCTGGCTTCAACAAGAAAAACTTGGACAAGTTGAAGGAACAATCAGAGATCGTAGAAGAGCTACACAGGATACTACCCACTAAAGGATGGGATAACTTCAAGAAGGCTCGCGACATTCTGTACGAGATATATCCACAGTTCAAGGAGTAAGTTTTTGAAGTTCTGAGTTTGGGAATCGGATCAAAAAAGTAGTGCCATACGCCAGTGCATCGGAAGCTTTGAAGGATTGTATCAAGTGTTCAATTGCAAGGCTTTTAAAACTTCTGCTACCCCTGGCCTGAGGGTGATTTTAATGTAACTGTTGCTGTTAAACTTTAGTAATGTACCTTGTTATATTCTTATTTCGAGATGGGTTTATCATATCTATTACCATAACAGAATGTTACCTTAGCATAGCATTTCATCACATTATAACATTAAAAATGAACATTACAGTGAGGGTATAACATTAACAATGAACATTACAGTGAGGGTATATGGGATGAAAACAAAGTGGACGATCTACCAGTGCTCTCGATAAAGTACAGTTCAGTCATCGAGGAAACACAGGCAGTTGAACACGACGGAGCTGCCGCCACTACTGCTGATGGTATGTTGATTTTCGTGGGGAGGCTGGTTGGTGAGATGGAATGTGGAATGTTAAGATAGGATGTGATGGTGTTTTATTATCCAACCTGAGTTGTTGTGATTGGGCTTTATCGTACTAGGGCATTGCATTTTTAAGCTCCGAACTTTGGTTTCGTGCAGATTTTCGAGCAGTTTTTCTATCGACTAATCCATTTGTTAATCAATTAATTAGTTAATTATCTAATTACATAACGACCCCAGATGAGGCTGACGTTGACGGTATGTTCTCCAGCACTTCTCGTGTCCCTGCACAATCCAAATCAGCACCAATTCAAAGGTAAATTGTCCATACTGTAATGTTAACCCATTAATTGTGCTCAATTAATATACAGGGGGGGGGGGGGGGGGGTGGGGGCCCAAAGTCAGTACCCATACGTTGGGTCTTATACCACCGCCGTGTTTTATATTTGAGTGTTGTTGCTTTGCAGATGGCATACTGTACCTACTTGTTCAAGGATTCCGTAACCAACATTTTAAAATTTGATTTTTGGAGGCCACACCCGATCAACATTGAATTGCTTATACTGGTGTTTGTGAAAATGTTAGAGACTCCATTGTAACATATTGCAATAGGTCATTTAATCCGGAATATAATCTGAAAAGATGGTGCGAAACGGATTTAAAATAAAGTTATCAAGCAATTTATTTATCTCGTTAGCAAAATTGATTGGGTACTCAATGATTGCCCAATTACGACACCGTAATTGGACTCTCTGCGCGATTCCTGTAATGCGGATCTAGCATCAACCCAATCACCTGATCACACGTAATGAACAAACTCGTTCGGTCATCTGAGAAGCTAGAACTCTCATTTTTTCAGGACAAACGTAATTCAAATGGCCAAACACCATTCAATAAAATGTGGCTTGATCCGACTATCCAAACTATCTAATAAATGCGAAAATGAACACGAATATTTTTCGATTTGACAAATTCCTCGAACCAGTGGTGATAGTAAGTCATACCAGAAAGAATTATTTCAATTGGGCACTCAGTGATTGAGCTATTAAGGCCAACTTATGGGTAATGACTTTTGCCCCCCCCCCCCTGCATCTAGTAATTGACTGATTAGATATATAAATAATCAAGCATACTCAATTCATTGAATAACCAATTTATCAACTAACTGACTAGCTGATTTTAATACTCAATAATCAGCTAATTAATTAACTAATTAACTAACCCCACAGGTCTGATTTCTCAGCGCTACCATCCTACAGTATGACTAACAGAAGACACAAAGGAATTTGTCTGATAATTAATAACGAGGTCTATGATAAAGCCAGAGCATATCATAAAGGTACAAGAAATATGCTAAATTATAAATATGCTAATTAATGTTACATAACCTAACTAATCTCATAAAGGTACCATATGTACCAGATATTACACAATCTAAATAAACATATGTATATTGGGTCGAATACATTGATGGCGACTTGTGTCACTCTCATCGACCTTTTTCTATTCTGATGAAATTTGGGTTACGGAAAGCTGAAATTCGAATGTCCTACCGGTAGGACATTTTCAAAATTTTCACTCCGTCAACGTTTTTCACCGGATATACATATTATATAATCGATCACGGATCATGATAAAATTTTCTCGAATTTCTCACACGATGACTGCTGATGGTTTGATCGTTTTTATCAGAATTTCACGATATTTGACATTACCCACTCTCGCAATCTAGCTATAACTTACGTTTTATTTACGTTTTATTTACGTTTTATTTACGTTTTATTTACGTTTTATTTACGTATTACAACCACAACTCAGATTTCAAAGACAGACGAGGTTCCAGTAAAGATGCTGATTCTGTCAAGGAACTGTTTGGTAAGCTCGGCTTTTACGTGGAGTCCCAGAAAAATCTCACAAAGGCTAAGATGGACAAGTAAGTGAATACCTATTAAACATTAACCTTATCAGTATATTTTTTATTGTGAATAAAAAATAAGACAAAAAACAAACAAAGCAACCTTATCATACTATTTGTTGTTTTGCTTTTGTATTTTAAGTTGCAATTTGGGTTTTTAGAGATCTAAAACGGTGATTGTTCGTAGCAGATTCTTTAATTATTTACGATTTTATGAAACTTTAGTTCTGCTATTTTCATATTTAAGCTTCTTTATTGACCCTTGCTTTGTTATATCACGCTAAGTTAGTTAGCATTGCACTGTTAGTTGCATTGTTAGTTGCATTGTTAGTTAGCATTGACTTGTTAGTTAGTTGAATTGTTGAAGCTTTTAGTTAGTTACATTGTAATGTTAGTTAGCATTACATTGTAATGTGCAGTTTAGTGCGTATTCTGATAGCCCCTACTCAACAAGATATTTAGCAAGCTTGCGATCAGTATTGTTTATTTCTAGATAATGAATCAATCATGCTAAGCGTCCTACTCAAATGTTGGTTTTCTAGTCCATGTTTATTCTATTAAAAGTACCACTTATTTCGATACCCAGTTGAATTCCCCCTTGTCGTGTTTCTCACGTGACGTCACACTTAATCTCACGTGACGTCACAAACTCCCTCACGTGACGTCACAAACTCCCTCACTCCCTGACACACAAACCTCCGCAGGCTGATCGACATGATGGTGAATTTCCAAGGACTCAACACTTACAGTTGTTTTGTAGCAGTGTTTCTGTCTCATGGGGAGAATGAGTGTTTGAACTGTGTAGATGGTCAGGATGTAAGTACTAGACATAAATATACATATTATGTTATAATATGTTATAATATGTTATAAAGTTATAATATGTCATTATGACATATTATAAATATACATATTATATCATAATATGTTGTAATATGTATATCTATATTTTTTTGACCAAAACCCATAATCATGGGTAGAGTGTACCGCTGCCAGTGTCTCTCTTTTCCAAACAAAAGGAAATGATATTAATTTGAGGAACAGTCCGCTAATGCAAATTGATACCGAGAATGAAATCGGTCGCTCGCTTTTTCAAATCAATAAGCTTTATTACAATTCGTAAGCCGTGATCGAATGGAAAAAGCGAGCGACCGATTTCATTCTCGGTATCAATTTGCATTTATAGCGGACTGTTCCTCAAATTAATATCATTTCCTTTTGTTTGGAAAAGAGAGACACTGGCAGCGGTACACTCTACCCATGATTATGGGTTTTGGTCAAATATCATCTCTTTTTGATTATAATGTCAGGATAATTTACACAGCTAGCCGAAACTTCATTAACAAGGAGGTAATTTCGACGATTTCGAAATTCTGCCTTTGAAAACGTTTCCTTGTGTTTAGTTAGGTATTTCTGTCGATAACCGACTGAATATGGCACTTTTTACTCATTCAAGTTGCCATTAAATTCATATATCATGCCATTTAAATATCGTGGAAAGCAGAATATATTCGAAATCACGAATGAGCAAATTTCTCACCTTTCGCACGTGCAAACTTTGAGCGGACGTCGCGTGCGCATACAATATTGAATCACGGTACATTTTTGCATAGTGGTATTTAATATATAGTTTGATAAGCATGCAAAGTTTCAGAAGATTTCAAAAAGAACTTGGATCACAACGGGACTCCAAAGTTGATAAAAATCGTGAAAATCAAAATTTTTAGCGATTTTAGCTATTTTAAATGAATTTGGGCGTGTCCCCACGTGTGCAACTTTTCGATTTTTAACTTTAAAACTAGCCTATAACACAATTTACACCTTTAAGAAGCAAAATTGAGCTCCACAACCCAAGGGATGGCCCAACACCAGAGAATACTAATTCACAACTTTTGTGTTTTTATAAAATTATTCTTCAAAAAAGCACTAACTTCAATAGCAAATATCTTTATGAAGGAGCAAGGTAGGAAACTATTCCGGTAGATTTTCGGAATGCTTGAACAATTATCTAAGATGAAAATGTCCTCAGATTTTGAATAAAATTACTCCTTAATAGTGTAAAATCGATTTAAAAAGTTGTTACTTTGTCAAAAGTCAAGTTTTAAAAACACTTAACTTGATGACGTCATCAAGTGATGATGATGACGTTAAATTATTTTTCAATACAATGTAAACTAAAGCTTAAACAATTATCTTTAAAACCTGTGGTTCGAGATGACTGTATCGTTTATACTTTTGAATCTACGGACACTTAAATGTAGGCTACAATTGACTGCAAAAAGCGTCTATATATATATATAGTATATATATATCTTCACGACAATCTGTTGTAAAACAGGGGTTCCAGAAAACCCACTTCCCGATACTCCTGAAACATGACATTTTTTTTACAGTCGATTTGGACAAGGTCTAGACGCCCTGCAAAGTTTCAGATCTCTAACTCAATTTTAACATGGTTTTTAAGGCACCTGAATATGGCGATTTTGGGTTTTTTACCTAATTTCGTATAACATGCTGGCGCGTATTTTGCGCAAATTTCTTAAAAACCTCCATATAACTATTTCTTATTCCTGTCATCTTCAACATTGAATTAGAATGTTTTGAACTTAAATGTACCTGCTGAACTACTTTCGATGAGTCTTAATGCCTGGAAAACAATAAAGGGGATATAATCGTATAGGGGGTAAATAGTGTTGTGAATATAAGGGCGACGGTAATGCTTGCCAGCATTGTGATTTTAGATATAAATCATTCTATGAGAAGTAGTGACCGATTAAATTCTTTAATTTATGTCACGTGTCAAAACACTGACAATGTCATTATCATATTTGTGGTGATATAATTTCAAAGAAACACTGAATTATCAAACGCTTGTTAATGTTTTCTGTAAAGTTTAGTGTGTATTTATTAGTATCACAGTTAGGCTTCATTTGCGTCCCAGATGTATTAACCTCATATCATAGATTATCGTCAAGATGCTAATTACTATGATATGAGATTATAATTATTGAGAAAATGTATACAACTAAATTTACTACGAGATTTCGTAATATATTTCTGATCCGTTGTATGCTCATTGCAGAAAAAGATAGATGATATCATAAACGCGTTCAAAGGAGACAACTGCCCAGCATTAAATGGCATACCAAAATGGTTTATTATACAAGCCTGTCGTGGTAAAGATTTCAACTATGAGGTATGTTAGGAATTTGACTCGTTCTAAATGAGGAATTATTTATTATTTCTTGGTTGTTTTTTTTCGTATTTGAAACGATATTCTCAGTATAAGTAAGAATATTTAAATAATTCAATTCACACATCACTGTAAACATAAGACAGTCAAACCTTACATCGATACCTGAGGAATCCATAACGAAAACCAACTCGTAACTACAAGTTATAAACAGAATTAAAATGTCATGACTTATAAATAAAGCCTAGTCTTGTGACTTATAAACTCCTCAGGTGTCAATACAACACGATGCCCCCGGTGATGAAGGACACGACGTAGAGCGACAATCAGACAAACCAATCAGCATCCCGGCCTGCGCTGACTTTTACATTTCATACGCAACCGCCCCAGGTATACATTCCACACATTTCATACTGTGATATTCTTATCAGCTCAGCATTCGTTGTACTGTACTTCACACATGATATTCTGTTCCGTGTGTGATGTTTTGAGTTTTCGATCAGCATTCTTTGCATTCCATCGAATCATGAAGATGGTCTGCTTGTTTTGATTTATTCTCCTGCCAATGAACGTGTGCACTAGCAAATTCGATTTAAGAGGGATACCTTTAAAATGGGATATAACTTAAAGAGTCTACTTTTAGAAAGTGCTGGAATGCGCGTTGCCAAAATTGTGAAGTATAGTGCGCATAATAAGACATTAGCGCGCACAAACACGCGCGCTATTTCGTTATAGACCACCGGACTCGTGTTTTGATTACTCGCTGGAAGTTCGTTAAAATGTTGATGATCTCATGAAGGCAGCCATCTATAAGCTTACACAAGGGTGCAAAACAGTCATGACATCATTCATCATTAGACGCCATCGAGTACATGTAATTACATCAGCTTGCTAGCTGTAGTGATCACCATTAAGATTAACGACTAACCACCATCAAGCCCTGAGGTGGCCTCGTGCTCAACTGATTCAGTAAATGTTCAATGGTTTGTCAGGCATGATCCACCAGATAATCAATGTCAAGACAGTAGGGTTAGTGGTCAGTTATCTGACAAATGATTAGAAAAAAGAAGGCGGTGACGTCGTAATAAACGGAGCTGATAACTCAAAGATAACAAGGGTTAACTACCCGTCATCTTGATGTTTGGGAAATTAGTTATTTGATATTGAATTATTGAAGACACCTTATAAGTAGCAGAATAGAATTACATGTTGTCTCGAGAAAAAAACATGAAGTGAAACAAGTTTAGTGAAAATGGAGATTCATACCATGCTATTATTCATAATTGTGGCAGAAAACACGGTGAAAACTCGGTTTCTGTACTGTGACCGGCTACAATAAACATAACACTGATTCGTTGATTTTACTCTGTCGATGATACAGAAACCGAAATTGCCACACTCTTTTCTCATATTGTACCGCCATTTAAAATACTCATTTCACTTCTTCATCTTTTTAAACTATGTTTGTCGTATAATCATAAACAAGTTAATCCTGTTTTCATGAATGCGCGGCTTTGGCGGCCAGTTATTGACTTATACATTAAATTGAATTTTAAATAGAAATGTGAATATATTAAAATTTAAAACTTTCAAAACGGAGGCTTATAAATATTATCATATTATGATTGTAAAATAAAGGAAAAAATTTTAAATTTGTTTCACTAAATTTTGTTTCACTAAACATTCACTGAATCACGTGACTTCACACGCGTTACTTCACACATACACTCCTTCCAGGGTACTTCAGTTATCGTAACACTCGCACGGGTAGCTGGTTTATTCAGTGTCTCGTGGAAGTACTTGCCAAGTACAACTGGTGTGAGGATGTTAACACTATGATGACGAGAGTTAATAGAAAAGTCGCTCTAGGTGCTATTTTTACTACTTTTCTTGCCATTCATCTTTCCGAAAATGTGATGAAAATGTTTACTAAAAAATTCTGGAGATTATGCAGTTCTCTGCTTTCAATTCAACATTTGTAAAGAAACAAATCGAACATGAATTGGTTGATTAATGAAACAAACAATCAATTAAAAGTAAGTAACTAATTAAAAGTAATTAAGTCGCTAAACCGGTTTTAGGGTTTCACCACAAAATAGAGGGGGAGTATGTGCGGCAAATGCCGTACCACGTCAACATGTTAACAGGGTCCCTGTTCCTCCATCCCACGTACACAGCATAGCCGCCAAGTGAGTTCATATCACGTGTGTGTGTCACGTATGATGTCATGTGTGATGTCGTGTGCGCATGTGGTTCGTGTGTGATTATCGGGATGATTCCCCCAGCTAATTTTTCATGTTTATGATTTCGCGCCGATACTTGTGATTAACGGTTTTTGATTCACGGAAAAGCACAATCGTCTCTAGAGTTGCTTTTTAAAAAGCCAGATTTTGTCTTTCTCAAATGCTGAGCTGCTTTGTTAAATCATTACAAAAGCAAATCAAAATGCTAGCCTCAATGATATAATCCGATTGTATTGAAGAATGATTGGGGAAAACTCACTGCATAACACTATTGAACTCTAGTGCAGGTTCGGTGCGGTTCTAAGCTCAGTTCGGGGTGGTTACAGGTTCCACCTGTTTAATGATTATATCCGGGCAACCAAACCTATCTTAGAACCGAACCAAACCGAACATTCTAGAGTTCAGCAGAGTTACCTTTATAATTAATTAACCTAACAGATTAATTAATTAATTAACCTAACTGACTCCTTCCGTAGGTTACTATTCATTCCGTAACATCAACGAGGGCTCCTGGTTTATCAACGACCTCTGTAAAGTGCTGAAGATGTACGCACAGAAAGAGGACGTGAACACCATGATGACGCGCGTCAACAGGAACGTGGCGCTGGGACGGGTTGTGGGCTCCGAGTATGGGCACCGTCGTCAGATGCCGTGCCATGTGAACATGTTAACCAGTGCGCTGTACCTGTGCGGGGTTCGGCAGTCTCAGATCTAGAGATCAGTTTCACGTGATGGCATTGGATTGTCACGTGACATCATTGGATTGTCACGTGACGTCATTAGAATGTGACGTCATGTAAGGACTCATTACCGTGAGTTTGAGGTTGAAACTCTGTGATAGAAAAGATCAATTGGTATCAGTTTGGCATGTTTGCATGGAACTTAAATAATATTGGCGATGCGAACTCTTTTGGATAACTTATATACATTTTTAATGGACTTCCTCTGAGACAATAATTCTTGGTGCAATCAAGATAAAATCATATTACATTTTTACCTCTTCAACATGTTTCTTAATATAATAAGGTTAGGATACTAGATTACACTAGTTATCTACGGATTTCTTGCTTTATTTCATTGTGCACTTGTGCATGTGGTTTTTAAATGATGATTGTTTACATTAATAATGAAATGTTCGAGAAAAACAGTTGTTTAAGTTTGTGTTAGTTGTAATATTTTTAGTTTTATTTGATAACGAATCTGTTTGACCAGTGGCTATCAATTCCGTATAATTTAGACTTTTATAGTGCTTTTGCAATTCATCCGCTAGTTAAAGCAGTAATACATCGGCACGTTTGATAAATACAGTTAAACTGAATATGTGAGCGTAAGGATATTTAAATCCTTAGCATGATAGTGCCAATATATTTGTATTGGCACTGATTTGTTAAAATAAGAGAAATGGTAGTACTTTGATAATATGCGATATAAGCTGGAGAAAGACGTAAACTTTTCATCGGCACAATTTTATTAATATAAGCGGAATGGTCTTACATAGATAATGGGTTATCGAATTTATTAAAATGTTGTGTTATTGACAACCGTTTCATTAATTGAACTAATGTAAAGTTTATCTCATAATTAATTGTTTCCTTAACTGTGGTGTTTTCGATTGAAAAATAATAAAAGGTTTTCAAATGGTGAAATTTCTAGAATAAATTCTAAATCATCATCAGAAAATTACGTCTAAATTATAAACCAATAATTTAGATATTGGACGATGATGGCATTGTGTACCCTGTCAAAAGATTGTAATTATGATAATTATATGATTCGGAAGTCGGCCGGCGGCATTCATTATCTCACGGTTAGTGAATTCTAATTACAATATACTCAATTATATAATATAATAAAAGTAAGTTGCACTTGAACATACTTCAAATACCTGTATATAAAACCTTTCTTTTACAAATCTGTCCATCATTGAAGATTATTCAGATTTTTCAAAGATAATTCTTGAATTGATCAACTTGTTAATCACTTGATAGATTGGAAAATTAAATAATCAATTAATTAAATCTGAGAGAAGTTATCAAGACTTCCTCCTCGTTTTAACGTTGATACAGTCCACTATAAGCCATCCTACTCCAACCACTATTATCACACACCCCATCCATCTGAAAATATCTTCACTGTGACGTTTATATAATTAACATTTTTTACAAATCGTTGACATAAACAATAAAAGACCTCAAGATAATAAGTTAAATCTTAGTCCGGTACCATACATAACAAGATAACAGTCAGATACCACTATATAACAGATGCTTCTATTATATATAATATATATAATATATATATTATATAGCAGTCACACCAGCTCATGTCAGGTGTCATCCTGCCTCCTGGTTATAGATGAAATGAAATGAAATGAGGTATTTATATCCCGCTCATATGATTAACCAACAACACAAGGAAGGTGGTTAACCATGTCAGAGCGGCTGATTGTGAGTGATGTGAGCAAAAGTGTAAAAGTGAACTAAAGTATAACTCAGCATAAGGCAAAGACAAAATTAAAACATCTTTTATTGTAAACCACACTAAACTAAATAGAAGCAGAAACCATACAGTACATGTAGGTATAATAAAGGTAAGTACAGTGACATAATCAATCAAGAAAGAATCAGATCCAAGTAAGTAAGGGATCAAGGCATAAAATGGAGTGCGGTAAAAAATAAAAGCCAATGTGTCTTGCAAAGTGAAGACAAAGGAAAGAAAAACATCAGAACTGATTATATAAATGATTCTTTAACATTCGCTTGAAACAGTTGGTATCAGTAATACATCTCAACATCAGGGGAAGAGAGTTCCATGCAATCGGTGCATGGCTTGAGAAACGTCTGTCATCAACTTTGGACCTTTTATTCTTTGGTACCTTGAGCATGAGATGGTCATCAGGTCTCTTCGACCTGGTCATGGTCATGGTGTTTGAGAGTTCTTTATCCACTACATCCACATCCAGTAGTGCTTTGAGGTAATCAGGTGCAGTACCGTGAACTGATTTTTGGGTTAAAAGACAAACTTTAAAGAAGATTCGTTGGTCTATAGGGAGTATGTGGGCCTTCTTATAGAAGGGAACCAAGTCCGTGGTCCTCTCTTCTATGTTATAGATGAAACGAACTGCCCCATTAAGGGTTGATCTAAGTTTGTTCAATCTGGTCTTGGGTAGATTCATGTAAAGAGAATTACAGTAGTCTAATTTAGATATGACCAGTTGTTTCACCAGCATCAATTTAATGCCTTCATCCAGGTAACGACCAATGGTTCTTAGATTCATCATTGTCCAGCTGCATTTCCTTTTGACATTATTGATCTGTCTTTCCATATTTAGAGTTTCATCAAATTTGACACCCAGACTCTTCCAGCTGTCTCCTTTACACTCCGTAGGCAGAATTTCAGTGCTTCCAAATTGCAGTCTGACACAGAGTTCACACTTTTTTAGAACATGGCTCTTTCCTAACACCAGTAGTTCTGTCTTTGTTTCGTTCAGTTTCATGTAGTTGTTCACCATCCATGCTTTTATCTCTGCAAGACATTTGTTTGTTCTGTCTTGGACATCAATAAACTGTACCACACGGTTTGGTTTAAATGAGATGTACAGTTGAGAATCATCTGCATAGAGCTGTATAAAAACTATACTTCGTAAGCTGCAAGATTAAATCATTCTAATATGTAAATATGAAGTGACTGATATCATTGGCCCCCCCCCCCTGATATCTACTAACCTCGATATCGGGGACTGGTGAGAAACAGCTATAGCCCACGTAGCTACACCTATCATTATCAGAACAAGACCAACAAACATTGCCATCCTGTCACGGTAATATTGCTTCTGAAATAGTGAGGGAGCTAGTGTTACGTGCACATTAATGAAGATTTTGATTGAGAATTTTAAGTCCCATGAAACTAACTGTGACAGAGAAGGTTGGTCAATTAAGGTAGAATATGACGTCACGTGAGGGGAAGTAATTAGTATGACGTCACGTGAGGGGAGCATAAGGTCACGTGACACAACTTACCGCATAATCAACTCTAGTCTGATGTACAGGAGTGGGGAGAGGGGGACGGGCAGTGTTCTTCATGGCAAGGGCGGGGTGCTGTTCTGCTGCTATCTCCCAGGCGGGGCGGTGTTGCCGTCTCACTTCATCATCCTCCTCGTCTCTGGGGAGGGGGAAATTTTGGTCACACAACACGGAACAAAGAAGGCTGTTTGTGAGATATTTGAGCTGCTCGGTTAGTTTCAGTAAACAAGACGGGATATATTTGTGAGATATTTTAGCTACTATGTTACTTTAGATGTGCAGGTATGTTAATCTTGCACGTGCCAATTATATCTGCATACCGGGATCAGTGATAAATATGGCGCCGCAGTTAGATCTGAAGAATTTAGTTTAGTATTTCTTTCATTTTTAATTGTGGCATACTTCTAGTAATTTATTTAATTATACAATGCCTATAATTAAAAATGGCATTGGTATGTTTGGCCTATCACCGCCATCCCACCTGGTACTGGTAGCGACAGTGGCTTTGTTATGACGGAGCTACGGATACCACTGGTGATTGTGCGAAAAATACCACAACATTTATTACGTAACATGTGAAGTGTGAACGACCCCTTCAAGATGTATTCCGGGTAAAATAGAGAAATTCTCCCAAATAATAGGAGGGTTCTTAATCTAAAGCAGCGCAAAGAAGACGCTTGCAACAAGTCACGCGGGGTGTCCAACCCCAAAAACCGATTTTACCTCAAATTCCCATTTTGGGGTTGGGTTTTTTGGGGTTTTTTCCATCGTTTTTGTAATTTTTCATCCGATTATTTCAAAACCCAAAAATGCATAAAACAAATGAAACATATTATTATAATTGATAATGGGGATGATGGAGGGTAACATATAATGTATAACTTGGTCTCAAATGAATGTAGGTGTAAATAATATCAATCCTAACATTTTTTCTAATAATAGGGTTTTTAAATGCGCCTGAGGTCAAAACAGCGAAACATTCAGTCTCAACCATGCCTTTAAAAAAAAGTTTAAAGTTTATGGCAGCCTAGACACCCCCAAGTTTTTTTCCCTTTATAGAGCTGCACGCCACATATGTCCAGGTTCATTACCCCCCTAGTTACTTTTAAGATTATTCCTTTTACTGCTGAATAAACTGATTATCAGGACAGATCGAATTACTATAACGATAAAATAAAATAAAAGTTAAATATTACATACTATATTTTCATACTTGATTAGTTTAAATTACGCCCAGCTCCGTCGACACGGTTACAGAAAAACTTGATAAACCGGTTTTGATAGATGAGAATTTGAACCCTTGCCAAATTGTAGGGTATCAACAAATTGTAGGGTATCAACAAATTGTAGGGTATCAACAAAGGGGTTGTTGCAATCGGCTGGACCCCAAAATGAAGATTGTTCTTTTAACCTACTTAACTAGTTAACTTAACTATAAGATAATTATATTAGCCCTAAGGTGTCGTATCTTTTAGTCTTTATAAATGTACTAGAATAGTACAAGTGCTTCCTTGTCTAAATCAGCTTCCTTAGCGAAATAAACTGGTTTTTCCGGATCTTAAACGGGTTAGCAAAGCTTTGGAATATAATAACCATATATCACGTTTTAGTGATAGTAGCGTTAATGTTATGTGTTTTACTGTTACATTCGACTTCGTTCGTGTTGTTAATTATTGTTAAGTATCATAAAATATTTTTTTAATGAGACGTATTTGTACGTTTAATCCTATGATTTATAAACCATAGGATAAACTTACCAATTTCTATAATAGTCATGAAATGCCCTACTAAAATTTGGTCAAACTTAGAAGACTTATAATAAAATGATAAATTCATTCAAATCAAGTGATGCAATTGGCAGAGCACAATACACAGGTAACAAAAATGGTCCATTACTACCGATATTATTTTCAATCTCAAAACTATGTTCATTTATGTCCCAAAACAAATATCAAGTGCTGCCCGGAATGTTCAAGCTATGTAGGTGTAATACTAAGAAGAATGTGAACAGTCAGTTATATGATTCACAAGATATAATGAAATTTGAACGGGATGCACTACTACAATTGGACAAATGAACATATGTAATATGGTTAATTAAGTCCTGCAGTTATCGTTTGGTCCTGATCAGAATTCTGTTTGTTGGTCACAAATCATATTCTGAGATGATTTGAGCTTGATACCGTAATTGCATTTGGAGATTGCTATTGCCATGCTTGTTGTTTTTGCAAGAAGCATGGTTTTCTCCTCGATATAGCCTCTTTTTTTTGTGAATTGCCATCTTTTAGTTTATCTTATTCTTGCCTCCCTCATTATACGCTAGGTGACGTTTCAAAACTTTCACATTGCAGAAAAAATGAAAGGAGATCTCAGATGATATTCTTAGAATATCGTCATACTCTTCAGTCTTCACAAAAACTACACCCGATATCCTTGATCATCAATTAACCATAAAACCTATCAACCAGATCAAAATGACGATACTATCCCATATGCAGATATGGAGGAAAACACGTGTTATAACACGTGGTAACACGTGGGTGGTAACCACATCACGGCTGCTATGCGGGGTAGCCAGCGGTCCCGCTAAAGATAGCCAAGTCCGCAGCCATGGAGATAACCACACCAGTAATAAATGCTGCAGTAAGAAAGAAGCGACACTGAACTTCCATGATACTAAAGAGACCTACATGTCTAAGTCTAGCTTTGAGCTGGTCCGATCTCTTTTTATTCTCAAGAGCTGCACTTATCAGGTTAGAAAAAAGATGTCATCTGGTATGGTTGCTTTGCAAAGTTATTATAGTAATGGTAGAATTGGTAGTGTTATAGAAAACTTATAATTGCATTGTATCTTTTAAGGATAGCGTTACTGGTAGTGTCAGTGTCGCTAATACTATAATATTAAATCGTCAGACATTTTTCTGCAAAGTTATTCTTGGCAGGTTTTCGTAAACAACGCAGAAAAAATGATGAGAATATCCAGAATCCTACTTGGAAAGAGCCTCTTCGCCTACCTGATGAAGAAATCATTCTACGGCCAGTTTGCTGGGGGAGAAAACATATCGGAACTAAAACCCTGCGTAGAAAACTTAGCCCAACACGGAGTTCACTCCATGCTGAACTTCTCTGTTGAATCTGATCTAGACACAGCTGTCGGGGAGAGCCAATGTGAGGAGAGTCTGAAAACTATCCTCAGTATTCTAGATTCTTCCAAAGAGGTTTGTCAGGGTAGACCGTTCTCCTCGTTTAAGATAACCGGTTTGACCACCCCTCAGTTTTTATACGAGTTTACTAAGCTACTGGAAGGGGTACAGAGGGTTTTTCTAGAATGTTCTGTGGTGGAGAGGGATATTGGAGGGTTTGTGGACAGTTTATCAAGTGAGGTGGTGAGGGGTAATGAGACTCTGTTTGTTAACAGAGTTATCACGAGAGAGGGGTTTGTAAAGATAGCAGGATCACCCGAGTTGTTTGATTCTGTTGATACCGGTTACACTGGCAAACTTGATTTCTATCAGTTTAGAGAAATCCTCTTGTCAAACCCAGAGATAATATCACAAATTGAGGGAATCCCTGAGTTAACAGCTGAACTTGCTAAAGGAGGTACCCGACTTAAAGACCGTCTAACCCAAATAATTAATAAAACTAAATCAATAGACGCACGTGTAATGATAGACGCGGAACAGACCTACATGCAGCCAGCTATTGACTACTTCACAGTGGAACTGATGAGAGAACACAACCACGGAGTAGCTTACATCTACAATACTTACCAGTGCTATTTGAAGAGAACACCCAATACTCTGACACTGGACGCTAGAGACGCGCTATCACGCGGGTATACCTTGGGAGTGAAACTGGTGAGAGGGGCGTACATGGTGGAGGAGGCTGCACGTGCTGCGCGGCTCGGGTACGAGAACCCGATACAAAACAGCAAGGAGGAAACAGACCAAACCTACCACAACATGATGGACGTACTGTTGGAGCTAGTGTCACGTGATCATTGTTACATGCTAGCAGGGAGCCACAATGAGGTAACAGTAAAGTACCTGATGTCACAGTTACAGCACCACAACCTGCACCCTGACGCGCGGGAGAGAGTGGTGTTCGGACAGTTGTACGGTCTGTGTGATCCGACTACATTCCAGTTGTCCAGTAGCGGGTACACTGTGTTTAAAGCTATTGCGTGGGGGCCAGTGGAGGAGGTGTTACCGTTTTTAGCGAGGCGAGCGCAGGAGAATACGGGGGTGCTGGGGAGTAGTACAAGGGAGCTGGATCTGTTGAAGATGGAGATATGGAGGAGGGTTGTTAAGGGGTGAAGTGACGTCATAAACTGTCATGTGACGTCATGAAGTCTTGCGTGACGTCATTATTAACTCACACAATCGCTCACACTGTATTAGTTGGGGCATATAACCATGAATAACATACGGCATGCTATTTTAATGGTTTCCCGAAGCAGACTGGTCAATATACAAGCAGTGCCAAGCACTTTAACGGGCTGAATACTTCGCAACAAGGAGTCAAGCATCTGTTGACAAAGTTTTTTTACAGTTAAATAAAAGTTCGAGATTATGACACTAATGAGTAATGGGCTTCTTATGAAAGCATGCAAAGCTACACGTGACGTCACACCCTCCCTCACGTGACGTCACACACTTACCTCCAAGCCTGCACAGTGACTGGCAGGAACTGATGAGGAACTGCTATCTTGTGTTTCGTTAGTTGAGAGCACTGTTCCCTAGCTTTATCTCTCTGCTCCTGCACTTTCAACCACCTCTTAACTTCAATATGCTGAGGGAAACCAATCAGTACACACGATACTGGTCACGTGATTTGGACGGTTAAACGGAGGAGCAAGTGGACAAGAGATTAGAGAAGACGGGCCGGAAAGCGAATCAATTTAGAATTTTCTTAAAATCACTCATCTAGTGATTTTTAACTAATTTATAATGTATCATGGTTTTAAAGAGGGATAACATCACGAATAAAGGATCTTAAGAACTTTATCAGCTTATCTTACCTAAAAACAATTTTCTTAAACATTTTTTTAAAATAATGATCTTACCTTGGCAGTATCCCCCGCCTCTAAATCACACGATGAGAATTCAGACTCACTCCTCTCATCAGAGAACTGCTGGTACTCACCAGGGCGGATAGTGTTCCCTGTGGGGTAATCTGGAACATTCTTAGGAAGGTCTACCACGTTGGGGTAGAGAGGCTTGTAATCCGTTTTATTTTCCTGGATATTTTATGGTGCATTGATGTTGAATTAGACCAGGTAAATCATCTTTTTGGTTATAAAATATATTTTATTCTGGGCTTGTTTGGAGTTAAACTTGCTTTTTAGTTCCACTGTATATTTTATTGGTCACTATTAACAAAGAAAACTGTTTGCCTGCGTTCATTAGAACATCCACTGATCAACTATTAATTAAACAATAATTAATTAAACAATAATTAATTAAACAATAATTAATTAAACAATAATTAATTAAACAATAATTAATTAAACAATAATTAATTAAACAATAATTAATTAAACAATAATTAATTAAACAATAATTAATTAAACAATAATTAATTAAACAATAATTAATTAAACAATAATTGATTAAACAATAATTAATTAAACATCTCATATTTACTGACGATTGTCGATGTCAAAAAAAGTATTTTTTAAACGCACAAACAAAAGTTCTAACTCCACACAAGAAATGAGCAGACTAAAAAATCATTGCCAGTTAAAAGACCCAACAAAGAAAAAAAAAACCAACAAATATAGTGACTCACCATCATGAATATGTGACACACCGAACCAAAAGAAGCTGTATATAACCTGAATGTTACATTACATTCACACTACAATAACTAGTGCAGTGTTACTGCTGCGTTTATAATTACACTGGTTACACTATGCCTTGCTTAGCTCTCACAAGCAGTTCCCAATGTTGGAGACAGTACAATTAAATGATTTATGAAATAATTATAAAAATAAAATTATATTCACAGGGAATTACCTTTTAGGTAAGCTCATTGTCACCCAACTTCTAGTTACCTATAACATGTATTTGAAGGTTGTAGACTTCGTAATATCGAATAATGTTATCTGTCCGTGATCCTGTTCCTTATAGTATTCAACATCCTACTGGAACTTCTAGCTGTACTGTGCAGTCAAGTTGGGTATGAGCCAAGCTTCAGTGATAGTAAGACCTCAAAGAAAGCATTTGCTGATGACCTAACCCTGTTGTCGAAGAGCGAGAAGGAGATGAAGAAGATGTTGAAGGTAGTAGAAGAGTTCCTGGACAGGTCGAAGAAAATGAAGGCTAAACCATCGAAGTGCCTGTCTATGTCTATGAAGTGTACTGGAGGAAAGTACAATACCTATGATGCAGAGTTTGTACTAAGCGAACAACAGGTGCCGTCCATTATCCAAGCACCAATGAAGTTCCTAGGAATGTACATGTATGTAGATCTTGAGGTGAAGGAAATTCGGTCCATGATTAAGAAGAAGTTAGAGGACCTTTTGGAAACTACGTCTAATGATGAAATCACCGGTCCAATGAAGGCGTGGGTGTATAACCACCTCATCATTAGTAAGATGTCATGGGGGTTTACTGTTTATAACCTACCCATCACATGTGTGAGAGAGCTTGAGGCACTGTGTAACAGATACCTTAAGAAGTGGCTAGGGATTGCGCATCCTTGTACCACCACCGTCCTCTACAGGAGTAGAGACCAGAAAGGATTGCAGCTGAAAAACATCTGCACTGAGTACAAAGTCATCCAACTTATTAAGGGACACCAACTTTGTAACTCTAGTGACCCCTACATCAAAAAAGTGTACTCTAACCATAAGGCTATTGCAGACACACAGAAGATGTGGTCTTATCCCAAAGAGCTGAAAGACCGTCAGCGCCAACTTTACTTCCAAGAGTTAGTTGGAAAACCTGCAGTTGGTACAACTGGCCTCGGTTATGGGACAAGATATGAGGACACATCAGAGAGGAAACTGCTAACCAACATGGTGAGGACCTTTGATGAAGAGACACTTATTTGTTCACTTTTTGACAAAAAGCGGCAAAACCTCTTTCTCACATGGGAAAATACAATGACATTCGACACCACGTGGAATAACCTGATCTATCAACTTAGTCCGGAACTGTTAAAGTTTCATGTCAATGCTATCGCCTATCCATGACACTGCGTCAACACCTAGCAACCTAAAGCTTTGGAATAAAGCCGTTTCAGGAAACTGTAAACTCTGCAGCAAACAAGGGACACTTAATCATATCCTCACGTTCTGCAAGGTTGCACTAAGACAGGGACGTTTCAACTGGCGCCATGATCAGGTCCTACGTGAAATCATGAAGACTGTTTCATCACAGATTGACGAGTTTAATTCCGACATCGCCAAGGAATCGAAGAGGGCACCGTCGGTCTTTCACAAGGCAGGCAATAAGCGCGAGAAGGTTACCTTAGCTGACCCAACTCATCATAAGACCCAAAGATATTTCTTTTCAGATGCCAACGACTGGAAGATAATATTTGATGAGGATGAGAGACAGAGGAACTTCCCGCAGCACATTGCAGCTACACCACTAAGACCTGATGTAGTGATCTATTCAGATAAAGCAAAGAAGGTTTATCTAATGGAGCTGACTTGTGGAAATGAGCAGAACTTTGCTGATCAAGAGAAGCGAAAGATGAAGAGATATCAGCAGCTGACAGAAGAGATAGAAGCCAACGGATGGGCTTGCAAGCTCCAGACAGTAGAAGTGGGAGCTCGAGGCATTTACAGCTATAGCCTCCCAACATTTATGAACCACCTGAACGTAAAGAACAAAGAGAAGAAGAAGGCCTGCATGAAGATCGCTGAGATCAGCCTGAGGGCATCGTATACCATCTATTTGTCCAGAAACACTACCATATGGACAGATGATTGGGAGTTAGTCAAGAGACCAGTAATAGCATAGTAGGAGCGTAGAATGTTTGGGCCCAGAAAAACATGTTTAATACCGCTATGAACCCGTCATAAGCCGGGGACTACTATGAAAATGAAAATGATGATGCTGTGTTGTTGAAAGACCTTCGACCAATCAAAGATGTACCTCATCACGCCAAGCAGTTATGCTTGTAGGTGAATATACACTTATAGAGTACAACAACTTTATAACACTCCTTATGATTTAGAGGGGCCATGAGTCATAATTCCTACCAAAATTATGTGCGAACAGTGCGAACATGTAATGTCCGTCGACGTAATGTCCGATAAGATATGGTTTAATTTTAAATTTGTGAATATTAGCTATGAAGCTAAGTTTGATAAGCAAATAATCATAATGTGAAATGCAAGAATTGTTCAACTTTGCCCAGTAGAATCAACAATTCTTACATTTCGCGCATTTTTATAATGTACAGTTGAATCAAAGAAGCTGTACCTATTTTGAAGCACGGCGTGTTTCCCCCAGAGAAGGTGACAATCCCATTTTCACAAACCAGGTTGACATTTCCTCCTTTTTTAGCATATTTCTTCGAACAGCGGTAGTTTATACTGGCTCCGTCTTCAGCTGGTAACTGAGGATCCGTCACTGTGATCTTGAGATCCTCGTTGACAGTCATACATTTGGCTGAAAAATGAGTAAAAACTTATGTTTTGTCAGTGATTGTGGTGCCAGTAGAGTTGGTTTGTGAATCAAATGTTAATGCGTTAACTGTTAATTAGTAAACTCACCACGACAATTAGGAGGTTGTTGACCAGTTGGAACAAAAGTTCCGTCCTGACAAGTTGCTTTGTCACCTCCCTTGTTGGTGTAGTCTTTAGGACAGCTGAGTGTTATCTCTACTCCGTGTGTGACTGGAAGTGTTGGATCTGTTCGTACGTTCGTCCATGTTGAATCAACACTCGTGCAATCAGCATCTGAAATTACAATATTTAGATTCATGTTTATACATCTCCTTCATACTTTGATAGTTTAGCATCGCAATTCAATTCTTTGTTTAATGGGTATGGGCAATGAGCAATGAGCATAGATGGGGTTGCGCCCCCTCCCCCCTCAGGATTGAGTCTAGTGGCCAGCCTTCTTGGATACTGCATAGAAACATTACCTGGTCTTGCAATCACTGATATCTCGGCCACAGACAATACACGGCCCCCTTCTCTCGCCAGCTTCACCGTATCTCCGTATTGACAGGGGCGTGGTTGGTCTCCTCCTCCTCCTGAGTATACTGTTAAAGTGTACCCGTCTCCGTTGTCTGAGCTACATCCTTCCTCATTGCAGGTCCATGTTTTGAAAATTTCGCCGTCACGGTACCACGTTACCTTCTCTACACAGTATACCTGGTCAAGTTTTAGTTACAGTTCTACGATAAAAAAGTTAAAGAATTATGCATACTAGCAGGAACCCGTCTAACCCTTTAAGTGGTGTCAAGACTAAAGAGACTAAATAAATTATTACCTATTTAATTCAGGTTTTTGACACCACTTGGGGGTCCAAATTTTGGGCACTACAATTTTTATTTCTTGGCCAGTTTTTTATTTTTCCATGCTGATTTGAAGGCCATTAAGATATTTGACCCAATCAAAAAGTTTCAGTTTTATATCTTTTTCGGTTTTTGCGGAAAATCGCGTTGAAGTTGATGCCGTGGTGTCAGTAAAATGGCACGGAATACGGATAACTATCGTCTCGCTTTATGTATAGTAAGATTATGTGATGAAATTTGCATTTTGAAAAATGGTCCGAATTAAGAATAATAAATATTAAATAGTGTCTGCAGTTAGCAATGGATTAATCTGCAAAAGGTCCCAATTATCCGTTATCACCATCAAGAAAGGCCGTTAGGCCGGGCCTATCTTAAAATATCCTAAAAAAGAATTCATAAAAGTTAAGTTGATGCACAGTAGATACCCGATTTTTTCATATGTATTACTATTACTTAAAATTAGATAGATTGCAATTACCCTGAACTAAAAGATGTGATGGCAAATATATTTCTTAGAACAACCCACCTTGCCAAAGTTCAGTTTCACATAGCTAACACCAGTTCCGTCAGGCACAGCGGTGCACCCAGACGCGTGGTTCAGATCTATAGCTAACTCAGCGTTAAACAGCGCTTTGACTGTTTCCAGTCCTTTCGTTTCCGATTGTTCAGCACTAACTGGAACAATCTCACCTTGTTCTCTTTGTCTTGGTTCTGTGATATAGATCATGTTAGATATAAGCCGTTTTAAGTGTTATTTACACGTTTTATCGGTTTTAACTTGCTCCACTATTTGTTAGCGGGAGAGAGTAGTGAAACAAATGCGAGTTAATCCGTTAGTTGATGGAATGTTTTTTCTACTGGGCTTATTATTCAATATTGATACATTCAGCAATTGAAATTCGTCCGGTAATTCGTCAGCTTGGAAGGAGAAAATAACACATGGGAATGATAAGGCGGGGTACCAAATATGAGTAAAAATATAAGATATTGGATATATGAATAGTAAATACAAATAAAAAACAGTTTGCCGCTTACGCTGATGGCAAAATACGTAGCTATTTGCACCAGTTATTGCTATTACGGTAGCGTCCTGCGGTGGCTCGATCAAATGTATCACCGTGTTATCTGCGATCACTTTTATCTGAAAATAACAATGATAATTACAGAGTTCTGTGCTGCACTGTCACATGTCAGGATTGAGTTAATAGTTAAGAAATCATGTATACAAAACAAGGAATTTAATGTTGTTATCCGTAAATTCATAAAAGTGAAGCTAAGAAAATTCTTTCCAACAAAGATATAGAAAATACAACAGGGAGGGGGGTCAGACCATGATTACGTAATTTTGCAGTCAGGAGGGGGGTGGATCTTGATTACGGTTCATAACGGAGGAGGTGGAGGGGGGTAAAAATTGCTAAAATATTAACTACGTAATATGTGACACCACTAACCTTACTGAGGTCCATACCATCATTGCCATCTGTTCTCCAGAGCAAGCATTTGTAGTCTTCTATCGCATTTTCGGTCTGCACCGAGCACGTGACATCCTGGTTATCCACATTGAAGTCAGCTGAGCATTCCTTCTCTACAGGTGCTTTCCCCTTAATCGTCACAAACTGTTTGTCAGCAGTACCGGAGTACAGACCAGGGATGATTGTCGCTGTTATCTGATAATCGACTGAGGGGAATTTTGTTTTATCGCCGGATATAAATACTTCACTAACGCACACTGAGAAATTTTAATAATGACCAATTACATAATAGATCTACGTTCTAAAAGTACCCTTTTAAGTTCCCTGGGTGGTAAATAAACAATTATGAGATGAGGCGGACGTTGGAATGGGTTATCCAGGATAACATCGTATGGAAAAGCTGTTAAACTAACGCCTATTTATTCATTAATGTAATGAACAGTAAAGTTTATCAGTTTATAATTCATTAAACTTACTGAGATAAATTTATCCCATAAGTGCCTATTTATTAATGAGAGGACTTTGAATTTACTTCTTATTTGCTACTTACCGCATATAGATGAAGGTATCATCCAAAGGATGATGAGAAACATGAACATAGTCAAGCTTTCTGGATAAGGAGAAGTGAAGTAAAACAATTTATGAATTTTTATTGGCGAATGGATCAGACCTCAGCTCAGTTTTTCGATTGCCAATTTCGTCTTCGACATTTACACACATAAAAAGTGAATAGTAAAATCTATAATTTTCCAGCAATACTCTAAACGGAATGATTCCACTTGCCGTGGTTTTGTGCTGCATATAAATTCTTTGATTAATAAACGGTTTAAAAAAATGTATATCTTTAAATTGTGGTTCAACGTCAAACGGGAGTTGGTTTAAACGCAGCATCTCCCCGGCTAATGTAAACTGTACCCTTAGCTTTAAGGGTGAGCTCATCGCATAGGGGCTGCTGTTCAGGAGTGCTTTGGATCATTGTGGGGCCCAAAAATGTCCCATCGGGTGATAAAAACCACGACATATTTCACCCAGATATAATAATATACGACATGTCTTTAATGATATTAACCTTGGGGAAATGGGGATCAGTGGCGTAACGTTGCCTGTTGGCGCCTCCCCCCCCCCCCCCCCCCCCCCCCCCCCCAAGAGGATACGCCGGTAAAATCTCTAAAAAAGTGTGCTTATAGAGTTTCAAATGGAGATTTTCAAAACAAAATTGTGGTGTTAACTATTAAATAATGACTATTCATTTAACCACGAATAATCACATAAAATGCACGAAATAACTCAAAATAGTAACTGAGACACCCAATATAGGGGCAAATAAAACACCATTCTCTTGTAAGTTATTAAAACTGTGTTAAGCATTAAACCTACACGATTATCAGCCTCCGTTATCAGCAGTAGCTCCGACGATAAGAAGTGACATCAGAAAGATATTCTCTCAACATTCTACATGAAATCTTGTGCTAGTTTTAAAATTTTTGGCACAAAAACACACAAAAATGAATTCATGCATGAATCGTTGTCACGTTCATGCATGAATCGTTGTTACGTGAGAGCGATTAGCCAATCAGATCAAAGCTTTGACCAATAAAATAATTTAATCTAACAATCTTATTAAACAGAGTTGCGCCAAGTCCCCAAAGTACGCTGCTGGAGCAGCATTACTGAAAAATACAAACGAGAACTGAGCAGGATTGAGGATTACTCGCTTGCTTGCTGGAGAGAAATGCGTTATTCAACTGTTCCTCCCTCTCTATTGTTTTACTCCGATTATCGTGAACGCAGCGCACAGCAGACCTCATACAACCTTCGCTAGGACTAATGACCATTATCCCTCTGACCCCTAAGAACAGGGAAGCGACAGGAGCCATTTACTCGGCACCAAGGGAGGGAGAGAGAGAAGAGAGCTTTTCTAGAGAATTCCTCGGGGTGGTGTTAAACGTTAGCTCTTATTTTCTACTGTTGTAATCTGTCTGTTTCCTTGGTATATTGCTACACAAGGCAGTGTTACACACAACTTAAACCTATTGTGTGCTGGATTAAAGGAGGTTAAAGTGGGCAAGTATAGCTTAAAGTGAGCAAGTATGGCTTAAAGTGAGCAAGTATAGGTTAAAGTGAGCAAGTATAGGTTAAACGTTGGGATGGGTTATCTAGGATAACATCGTATGGAAAAGCTGTTAAACTAATGCCTATTTATTGTAATGAATAGTAAGCAGCATCTCACAAGTTTATATATAATTCATTAAACTTACTGGGATAAATGTATCCCATATGTACCTATTTATTAATGAGAGGAATTTGAATTTACTTCTTATTTATTACTTACCGCATAGAGATGAAGGTATCATCCAAAGGAGGATGAGAAACATGAACATAGTCAAGCTTTCTGGAAAAAGGAGAAGTAAAAGTAAAACAATTTATGAATTTTTATTGTATTGGCGAATGTTGAACTCAGATTAATTTGTCGATTGCTAATTTCGTCTTCGACATTTTTGACAGAATATCGAATAAATCTCGGTAATTTTGTAAAAAGTGAAAAGTAAAATCTATAATTTCCCAGTAAATAATCTGAACGGAGTGACGCCACTTCCCGTGGTTTTGTGCTGCATGTAAATTCTTTGATTAATAAACGGTAAAATAAAATTCATATCTTTAAATTGTGGTTCAACGTCAAACGGCGAAATGAACATTGGTGTTCTTGAACCTTCGTCCTTCACTCACTCGAGCTGCTCAAACAGCACACAAAGAAAAAGGGAGTCGATTTAAAACTCAGCATCTCCCCGGCAAATGTAGGCTGTACCCTTAGCTTAAAGGGTGAGCTCATCGCATAGGGGCCGGTGGCAACAGTCGCTGTCTTTACATAAAGCCAGTTTAACAGGGCAGACAATGTCCATCTGCTTGGGAAATGACTTTGTTCTTAGAGGGCCACTGTAAATGGTGGATTACGTGGCTGGGGTTAGGACTTAGGGTCGGTATGGGCAGACTAATGGTTTTACCGCTTTCTATAGACCCTGGATATGCTTCAAATAGCCTCAATGCCCAGTAACACTTCCGGTAACGGCGGTTCCTAAGCGGCAAGGCACAACTATAAGACAAAATAAGATAAACTAGTCATTTGACATGGGTCTCACTCTTACTGTCATTACATTAAATATACCTGCTGTTTTTAGGGATGAGGATATTTTTTATATACTGTATCTGACAAATGAAACCCACTGATTCTTGTACCAACTATGGTCATAGGAGACTAAGGAATATATACATTAGTAAATAAGTTACATAATAATACATAATAAATTACCATATATAACACCTCCCCTTCTATTTTCAAACCACTTGATAAAACAACAAAGATTAAATTATATACCTCGTGTTCATTTACCTCGTGTTAAATTATATATTAAAATTAATAAGCCGCGCACGTACAAAGATTACTAACTGGCTAGTCTGTATTCTGAAAATAATTCCGCGCTCAACATATAGTAAATACCAAATCATCAAAAACAATTATTTCACTGCCAGTGAACAATTATCATACTGGACTAAATATTTTAAAAACAACTCTTAAGTTCATCATGCTGTTTTCTTGAAACCAGCAAGTAACTTATAATCAACTTTCGGCTTAGATCGAAGACTAACACGTAACGGTATAATATCATCTGTCACATTACGATTATCAACATTAACTGGTGTACTGTTTACATTCTCTCTATTCGAAATATCAGAACTTCTACTAGGTAAACTATCGGTTAAAATATCAGGTTCTCTAAAAACTGGTTCAGCTGTAATCACAGATTCAGGTGTACTCACAACCAATGGACTTACTACTGGTCCAGCAATCTCAGATAACACAGGTTCCACAACAGGTACAAACGGCACAACTCTAACCTGGTGATCATTGTCCGGTACAGTTGTAGATCTTCTTAACACATCTTTTACTCTCTCTTTTATCGAATCAGCGTGTTTCTGGATCACTCGGTTTCTGTATACCACATCGTATACATTCGACGTACCAACTCTCTGTAATATCTTAGCTTTCTCCCAAGTCTTATCGTTAGTAGCTTGAATCCAGACGTCTTGATTATCCACAAACTCTCTCCTCTTTTCATTTAGAAGTTTCTGTTCCTTGTCGGGGTGTAAAGATTTCAATTTCTGTTGATCCGATGGCTTTAATGCGTGCAGGTTAGAACGTAATGTTCTACCGTACATTAGAACTGCGGGTGGGGTATTTGTCACCGTATGAGGGCAGTTCCTGTAGGAGATTAGAAACTCTGCTAAACATTCGTCCAAATCCCTATTAGTTTCCCGCATCTTTTTCAGCGCTTTCTTGAATGTTCCGTTAAACCTTTCAACAATCCCGTTTGTCTTCGGGCTGTAGATTGGAATAAACAGATGTTTGATCCTGTGTTTCTCGGTAAACTCGCTCATTTCCTGGTTCTTGAAATGTGTTCCATTGTCAGAAACCAGTACACAAGGATATCCTGTTCTAGAAAATATCGTATGTAACGCTTTCACGGTAGCATGAGCTGTTGAACTGTTCATCCTGATAACTTCCGGCCATTTGCTGTAAGCATCTTGCAATACTAACCACATGCTGTTCATGAACGGTCCTGCATAATCCACATGAACCCGCTGCCATGGTCCGGTTGGTTGATTCCAGGGATGATCAGCGACTCTAGGTTTTGAGTTACCATACTTTCCACAACTATCACATGTTTTACATGTGTTTTCAATATCCGCGTCTATTCTCGGCCAATACACATAGCTTCTAGCTATCGATTTCATACCACACATTCCAATGTGCGTGCTGTGTAAGATCTTCATGACATGACCTCTTAACTGTGCAGGTATCACCACTCTCGTTCCCCAGGTAATACAGTTAAGTTCCAATGCTAACTCATCTCTTCTGTTCCAGAATGCTTGCATATCCCCCTCTGCTTTCAAGTTACTTGGCCATCCCTCATGAATGTAACCAAATACCTTACTCAAAACAAGGTCTTTTCTAGTTTCCCTCGCAATCAGCTCTGCGTCAATGTAAGCATCCTCCAGAGTAACAGCAAATATCTCAGCTAGATCATCTTGAACTTCTGAAGTTTTCACAGATTTACTACACGGTAATCTGGATAAGAAATCACAGTTTGCATGTTGCTTTGTTGACCGGTACTCGATTGTATAATCATATTCTGATAGGAATAATGACCATCGGTTTACTCTACTTGAAGCCATCTGTGGAAGTCTGTTCTTTCCAAAGATATAAGTGAGCGGTCTGTGGTCGGTGATCAGCTTAAACTTCCGTCCATACAAGTATATGTTGAACTTCTTGATCCCCCATACAATCGCTAACGCTTCTCTATCAATTTGAGCATAATTTCGCTCTGCTGACGATAAAGTCCTAGAAGCATACTCTATTGGACGTTCCTCCCCTGAAGGTAGTACATGGCTCAGCACTGCGCCCAATCCAACACTAGATGCGTCTGTGTCGAGTTTTAGCTCCAACTCCGGCTGATAATAAGTCAAAACTCGATCTGATCCTAGCATCTCAATCAACTTGTCAAAAGACTTCTGTTCCGTCTTTGTCCACTTCCAAGACACAT